AATTATTTAACTTCAGTGGATTCTTATTGGACATTAGTATTTTTACGAAAACATTACCTAACGTCACCAGTAGGAAAATTATCGACGTGTGATCAGCGAGAAGGACAAAGCTAGCTAGCTTCCCGTTAAGTGAATTATACCTACGTCAACTCATAATCAACTCGCTCATCGTGAACCCTTGATAATATATCGAAGAAGTTCCAGACTAAAAGGAAGGCTTTATATTGCTTGTACGTTTGTGAAACTTTTGTTTATAAATCATTGTTTGTAATAACTGTTATTGTTAGTTGTATTGTTGTGTGTATATTAAAACGAATTTGTATAAAAGAAAACTGTGTATCAACCTTGTTGGCAAATATCATAAACTGACTATATATCAACTTTTACTTAACTGCTAAATATAAAGTACAATTAAACTACTAAATTTAAATTATCAGTTAATTCGGTTTCAGACCATTTGAAATTCTAATACGTAACACACGACTTTAGATAAGATTATTTATAATATAATATAATGTTTAGGGACAACAAGGGACCTGTTGGTTTATTTCGGCTGTCCCATCCTCTAAACTATCAAATAAATAAATGAATAAAAATATTAAATTGAACCATTATCATTCATATAATTATCAAGCTTTCTTTTAAACTCACTTGAATTTACTGCCTCCACAACATCTGAAGGCTATCCATTCCAAAGGATAACCAACCTGTTAGAAAAATAAAACTGTCTTAGCTCAAGATGATCCTACCTTGCCAAGATGTATATTTGTATCTTCTAGACTTACTATTCTCACCGTTAACTACGAAAAACGATGATGCACCAACAATATCAATTTCCTTTACAATCTTAAATACTTTAATCAGATCCCCCTCTAACTCTTTTTTTTTCAAAAGAAAACAATTTCAAAGATCTTGATCTTTCCTTATATGACAACCCTTCCATCCCAGGCACTATTCTAGTAACCCTCCTCCGAACCCTTTCCAGCACTTCAATGTACTTCCTAAGGTAAGGAGCCCAAGACTGAACACAAGACTCCAAATGTGGCCTGACAAGTGACCTATACAATGAAATTAGGACCTCTTTAGACTTGTATACAATATTTCTGTAAATACAACTTAAACTCCTATTTGCCCTACCACTAAAAACAACACACTGCTTGGATGACTTAAGAAACTGATCAATCATTACACTAAAATCATTTCATTTGATAACACTGCTAAGGTTATTTTTATTTAAATTATACTTATAATTCAAATTATGATAACCTACATCCATTATCTTGCATTTATTATAATTAAAACCCATCTGCCATTTATTTGCCCAGCTCACTAAATGATCTAAATCCTTTTGTAAAGCAGTAGCACCCTCCTCACAGTTAGCAACACCCAAGACCTTAATATTATCAGCACATTTAAGTAATTTATTGAACACTCCTTCACCTATGTCACTGATGTAAATCAAAAAAGTTTGGTTTGTTTTGAATTTCGCGCAAAGCTACACGAGGGCTATCTGCGCTAGCTGTCCCTAATGTAGCAGCGTAAGACTAGAAGAAGGCAGCTAGTCATCACTACCCACCGCCAACTCTTGAGCTACTCTTTTCGCAACGAATAGTGGGATTGACCGTCACAATATATCGCTCCCTCCCCCACCTTGGCTGAAAGGGCGAGCATGATTGGTTTATCACTTAATTAAAAAAACAGTAAACCAGTGCCTGGCCAGGACTAGGTAGAAATAATGATAAACAACACAACATAAATGTTAATGTTATTAATTTCAATAAATAAATGAATTAGGAAAAAATTCCGAACAACACAGTGTTCCAAAATCAAGCCACTTCTAAAGATTAATAACAATAATTACTCTATCAATATCTGGTGTCTCCAGGTGGGACAGCGGCAAGTCTACGGATTTAAGGCAAAAATCAGTAGTATAGCCCATTGTAGTTTGCTATAAACACACACACACATTATACCTCGTGAATTAACTCGTTTTGTATACAGTGGTTAGACCACAATGTTACATCTTATGTGACTAGCTATTACCATAAATCTATATACTTTTTACATTCTTAAAATATCTCTATGTCACCGCTAGGGGAAGCTTCTATAGGTTTCGTAATACATAGATGGTTGTAATTAAGGTGGTCAAGGTGAGTTAGCTCTCTAAATTTAATTTTGATAAAACAGAAAAATTCATGGTTGAACTAAACGTTAGAAGGAATAATAGAATAAAAGTAGAATTCACTGTCTCACTTGTTTTCTGATATTGTGTTATCTGAAGCTGTAAGTTATCCATTATTCTAATCTATATGCATAAAGAAAGATATACTGAGAAATTGGACACTACATTTTTACAACTACAACAGTACAAGTTACAGCACAACTATAGAGTTTTGATTCCCACTCATTGTCAAACTCAAAGGTGGTTTTCATGTAGTTTATAATATGATAATGATAGCAAAAAATCTTTACCAACTCTTGTATTGATATAGTATTATGTTTACAACTAAAATAGATGTGGAAGTTGAAATATATTTATTTGAATGTGGAGAAAATTTCAAATGGCCCTTTTTATATCTTGTAAGTTAGAATCGAAAAAACATTTTTTCGGTTTTCCTTTTTCCATCTTGCATTAATACATTTGTACCTTCATTATCAACCAACACTTTGAATGTTAGCACTTATACTCCCAGTAGAGTTAATACTAGTGCTCTAAATCTAAGTGTACTGGTGCTGGGCTTCATTTCAAACATTTCCATATAATTCTGGTTTGTTAGTTCTACCATTCAGTTGTATCTGTTTTATGTTTTTAATTTAATTTGATACAAGTTATTTAATTTCATTTCAAAATTTCCAAGAGTAAGGTGAAGAGTAGTCTCTCACAGAGTACTCTTGGTTTTATCTTAAATAATTACCAGGATTTTGTTTTTGAAATCATAATTACAACAGTTTTCATGCTTGCAAGAAGCTGTTTTGAAAATTAGTTGTGATGGACTATTCTGATCATGCATTTAAAAAAAGAAGAAAAAGTTATTACTCATTTTATTTCACATTTTTCAACTTTTCATTTCACTGTACATCAATGATTTTGCTACAGTTAGTGTTAGGGTAGAAAAAATAAGAGATAAAAATGTATGTCTTACCAAAGAAAACTTGATATTTATTTAACAGCCTTTAGAAGTTATGAGGAGAATAATGAAAACTGTAAGATTAAAAAAAAAGTTTTTTAATCTTAGCATGAAAATCACCATTGGTTCATACTGATGCCGTAAAGGTTTTGTAAAGTCACAGGCAAATCTTTACTGAACATACGTTGTTAAAAAGTGTAAATTTTTGTGTACCACAGGCTCATTAAAAGCTTGTGACATGTTGTGAATATAGATACACGTAGTAAATTCAGAGTTACAGTAAGTACAGTTTAATAATTAACAGTAAGGTTGATCAAATTGACTGAGCCTATATGTATTGGGATAATGGGAACCAGTAGGTCACCAGATTCATCTAATTTTACCATGGAAATTGGAGGTCAGCAATGGCTTCTATGTGCAGTCTAGACATGTGATAGATTTGACTTTTAATGGACTCCAGTTCTGGATCCAGCTTTACTGGCCACAGAATAATATTAACTTGTGATCATAGTAATCTACCTACATACATCAAAATAAAAATATTTACCATAGCTAATTAAATATAATGTTCAATATATATATTACCTGTAATGGTTAGAATGTGTTATTTCATCATTTAGATATTTTTCTGTTAACAGATTTTTAAGTTTTGCAGGGTTTGGTTTAAGTAAAAATTGGGAGAATCTTTTCCTTTATGCTTATCTTCCTTTCTTACTTTTTTACATTGGTTTCCTCTGTTACATTGTCCTTCTGATGGAGAACCAATACCTATACCACTGTTAAAATATCTACCTCCTTAACATAACGTAAAAGGATGACAAGGGACCATTTTGTCCATCTAGGCCATCCTATCCACTATTCAACTAAATATTCACAATCTTAAAACCAGCCCTTATTGAAATATTTATCAAGCCTTCCCTTAAGCTCCCTTAAATTAATTGCATCTACCACATTTGAAGGCAACCCATTTCAAAAGCCAACCATCCTGTTAAAAAAATATAGCTGTGTTAGCTGGAGATGGCTCCTAACTTGCCAAAATTTATATGTGTCCCCTTGTTTTACAATTTTTACCATTAAATACGAAAAATATTATGAATCAACACTATCAAGTCCCTTTATTATATTATTTAATTATATCTGTTCATGGCTCTGTCAAGATGAGATGTTCCATAAGACCATCTCGACACAATTCTGGATGATAATATTATCTCACAATACAAATCCAATGGACCACTACTCATGGACTATCATAAATAAAGCTAAAGGGGATTTTGCCAGTCCCTGCTGATTTTAGAACTGAATCAGCAGAGATTGGTTTGCTTTTAAAACTTGGGGAATATGGTTCACCTGTTGCACTGTCTCCGGAGACCTGTTCCTCAGGACTCTCCGCACACACAAATACCTCCCTCCCTCCCTACTGCTACTAGTGGAGCTAGGGAGTCCTCATCACACCCAGTTCCCAGTCACTGGGGTGGTGGACAGAGGATTTTCCTCGAAGTGTTGAGTTTTCTCCACTCTCAGAGAAGAGGGCGAAGTTGGGGGCCCTCCTGCCTGGGTCCCTGGAAGTTTTTTCCAGATGTCAGTTGGAGCAGGACCAACCTACATGGAAGCTTGGACCCTCTATGAATACTGTCAGATCTTAGGTTATTCATGCAGGGGGTTCACTATCTCCTTGTAAATCCGAACACAACACAATCCTATCTTAGGCCCTTTGTGGAACAGTTTTCCACGTCCTCTCCACAATTCCATGGGGAAGTGGAATTCTCCTTGCCCACTTGATTGGGGAGTGAAAATGACTGTTCATAAATCCAGACCAGATGCTTTCTGGACCTTGGGTGGAGTATAGCATATATGATCCCATCAATCCAAACTTGGGATGTTGCCTTTTGGACTCCTTCAGGTTGATCAGAAGGATTGTCCACTTTGGTGTTGCATCATTATTTTATAAATCCAGTTGTTGCTAGTGGGGATCCTATCACAAAGATATGTACATATTTGCAGTCCAACTGCCTTTGCCACCAACAGGGTGATATGGGTACCATGACCCATTAAATCTAGCACCGAGTCGTGTAACCTCGGCTGCATGGTTGGGGCTGGCCCATCATACTTACTTGTGTATTATTCCACCATTTTCAGTTTTCTGTAGTTCTGGGTGTAGAACATACCTGTTCTGGATGTAGTGTGGTTTTCCCTGCTTGGGTACCACTTCTCATGGTGCACCTTTGTTCTGTACAGATGCTTTGTGTATGAACTATGCCTTCACTGGCCCCTCCGTCTTCTCAGTACTTTTTAAAGATGTTGAAAACTCACTGTTGCAGAAGTAAAATATAGACTTTTAACTTTATTATACCCATCTGTGAATTAAACATTTCTTGAATATGTTTTTATGAACAGATCTTTCCTGAAGCTCCTGTGAGTGTTCCATTATTAATATGCAAGAGGGCATTGTAATGTCTAAATGCTTTATTTATGTTAAAATATTTCTTGGTTTTCTTTAAATTACAGAATGTTGGAGATAGAAATTTACAATTGAAACATCAATGCTGGTTTCTGAATTAGCTAATTATATTACCTGAAAACATGTTTTATGTGTCATTTCTTGTAGATAAAGAGTCAAACTGAAAAACCTGAAACATCAGAATATTGAAGCTGATCATATTTACAACTTATTTACGTGATTTATGTCATTTTAATATGATATGCATGTAAGGTTAAATACTTTTATTTGTTTGCTTATGTAAGAAAACTATATTTCCTTCAGAATAATATATTATTTTCAAGTATTGTATATTGAACCAAAATCTGAAACAGAAAGTAACAGAAATGAAACAGCTTTTGTCTTCTGTAGATTTTTTCATGTTGTCTTGTTGAAACAAACATGAAAAATATTTTAAGTGTTTAAATAATTTTAATACTGTTCATTATGAGCAACTCTGTTAAATGTTAGATTTATATAGTAATTTGTTAATTTAGTACATTGTAGAGACTGTATATTTTATCTATTTATTGATGCCATTAACTGATATTTTTATTGACATTTTGAATGTGTTGTTTAATTTTAGAACAAACTTCTCAAACTGAAAACAGAGCAGCCTAGTGATCTACCACAAGATGAGGTTATTTCAAAGTTCAGTTACAGCAGTGGTGATGGTTTGAATAGTTCAAAGAATCGTGTTTTGAATGTGAAAACAAAAACTGATTTCAAAGAACATTTACAACAAATTGAACTTAGGTTGGAAAGTACTTCTGGTAAGTATATAAATCTCCAGTAACTTCAAATTCATAAACGCTGGCTGAAAAGAAATGTTTGAATTCTTGGTAATATTTTAAAAGTTATTGAATTATTTGAGGCCTGATTAACTTGAAGTGTATAGCTCCATGTTTGGTGTGTTTTTCATACCTCTACTTGGAAACAATCACGTTAAATTTTGAAATGACAAAATGAAAACAAAACAATTAAGAAAATGTTAAAATTACATTTTACTGGAATTTGATGTTGCTAATAGTCATTGTTAATATAAAATGAAACTGAAAGAAACTTCTGGCTAACCAATGTTTATTATCTTTCTGGTTCTTAATGTATCAACTTTGTGAGTAATTGTTGCAGCCATTTTCTTTAGTTTAATATTTCAGAATATACAGAGAATTTGTTGCTATAAATGATTTCCTTAGAAATGATTTTCTGGACACACACAGTATTGTTGATTTCAAGAGCTGATTTATCTCAAACTCCCAGTCTATTTTGCATGTTTAAGCCAGTAATACTTCTTTAACGTTATAAAACAGTAACATGCTATTAAACAGTATCATTTTGTCAAAATCTTGGCATTTCTAATTATTTGTTTAACTTGCACATAGATCTTCTGAACAGAAACTTTAAAGTTTTAATGTTAATCAACATATCAATAGTATAAAACATTGGAAGATTTCGTGATAATCAATGACTTGAAGTAAGAAGGTATTTCTAAGAATTAATCTAGAAAATTACTGTCTGTAAGTAACTTAAGTTGTTGTGAAAAGTGACCATCATATTTTCAAAGTTGATTCTAGACTTTATTTATTGCAAACCTTTTTCTTCAACTTTTAAGTTGTAGAGAGAAGTTTTGTAAAGAGTGAAACTATGAATACTGCATCATAATTGTCTTTACTATTATTATTTTGATATTTATGTTTGTGTTGATTGTGTTAGATCATTAAAATTAATTTAGAATTTCATTAATTAAATGAATGTATTAATTATATTTGTTGTATCATATATCTTAATTTTAGATATAAACACCTGTGTGAACACCTGTTATGGAAGTCTGTTTTCTGGTTATGGTGTCTTAAGAAAAGAAGATTCCTTAAAAGAAGTCACAAAACCCAACAGTGATGTTTGTGGAGAAACAAATTTCAATGAAAATAACCTAAAAGAATTTAATATATATCAGGATGGTGGTAAACCATACAATCAGGTAATCTGTGGACAAGATTTTGGAACAGTGGATACCATAATACAACAAAAGAAGATACACACTGGAGAGAAATCATATACTTATGTGGTTTGTGGGAGAACTTTTAAAAGAAATAGTCCCATCAAAGAACACGCACTGGGGAGACAATTTATAGTTGTTTAGTGTGTGGAAAACAATTTGGAACAAATAATGAATTAAAACTGCATAAGAGTATACAGTATGGAAAAACCGTACAATTGTGCAGTTTGTCAAAAACAATTTATAAATAAAAGTAACTTAAAAATACATCAAAGAATACATACAGGGGAGAAACCTTACAGTTGTGCAGTTTGTAGAAAACAATTTCGAACAAACAGAGATTTAAAAATACATCAAAGAATACACACTGGGGAGAAACCTTACAGTTGTGCAGTTTGTGGGAAATGTTTTGGAACAAATAGTGAATTAAGAATACACCAAAGAATACATACTGGAGAGAAACCTTACAGTTGTGTAGTTTGTGGGAAACACTTTCGAACAAATGGTTTGTTAAAAGTACATCAGAAAATACATAATGGAGAGAAACCTTATAGTTGTGCAGTATGTGAAAAACAATTTGCAACAAATAATGACTTAGAGAAACATCAAAGGATACACACTGGGGAGAAACCTTACAGTTGTATGGTGTGTGGGAAACAATTTGGAACAAATAGTAACTTAAAAAGGCATCTGAGAACTCATACTGTGACAAAACCTTACAGTTGTGAAGTTTGTAAAAAACAGTTTATAAATAATAGTAACTTAAAAGTACATCAAAGAATACATACTGGGGAAAAACCTTACAGTTGTGCTGTTTGTGAAAAACAATTTCGAACAAATAGTGATTTAAAAAAGCATCAAAGAATACACACTGGGGAAAAACCTTACAGTTGTGTAGTTTGTGGGAAATGCTTTGGAACAAATAGTGAATTAAGAATACATCAAAGAATACATACTGGGGAGAAACCTTACACTTGTGTAGTTTGTGAAAAAAAATTTGGAACCAGTAGTAACTTAAAAACACATCAAAGTATACATACTGGGGAAAAACCTTTCAGCTGTGCGGTTTGTTGCAAATACTTTAGAACAAGTAATGAACTAAAAATACATCAAATAATACATACTGGAGAGAAACCTTACAGTTGTGTAGTGTGTGGGAAACACTTTCGAACAAATGGTGTGCTAAAAGTACATCAGAAAATACATGCTGGAGAGAAACTTACATTTGTCCAGTTTGTGGAAAACAATTTGCAACAAATATTGACATAAATATCAAAGAATACATACTGGGGAGAAACATTACAGTTATATTGTGTGTAGATAACTGGATCAAATTTTGCATTAAAAAATCATCTAGGAATACACACTGAAGAGAAATCCTACAGTTGTGTTGTGTGTGGGAAATGCTTTTGAATAAATGGTCAGTTAAGAGTGCATCAGAGAATACATACTGGGGAAAAAAATTTTACTGTTGTGTAGTGTGCAGAAAACAATTTTTAGGTAACTAACTTAAAAACACATTAAGAAATACACGTTTGAGGAAATTTTACAGTTGTGTAGTGACCACATTGGAAGGTCTTGAACAGACTGCAGTGGAAAAACCATGGACATGATCACTGCCAGTCAGAATTGTTTCCCTGGCAAGTAAGACAATATGGGTACCTTTTAGAACTGTAAATTTCCCCTAAAGTTGACCAAGGCTTATGATACTTGGAGTCATATGGTACTGCATGTTGAGTTCCTTGAGTAACTAATCACCTGAGATCAATGAATAATCATTATCGGATGACCTGCAAACAGGTACCGTCTAAAAACAAAGTCATTGGTGGCATCTCCTCCTGTCATTGGTTGGAATCACAAAATGGAGAGGACAACAACTAATGACTCCAATGTAACAAGGTGCACCGAAGTTTCCTATATCGATATGGAGCCTTAGTTTTTCTTTGTCTTTCCTTGTACTTATCATATTTGTTTCAACAAAGGCTTGTCTTAAGAGAAAGAGAACCACTGAAACAGATAATGATCCTGTAGAAGCAACCATCCACTCATTTGTGAATTGGGCATGGTGCATTTTGTTTTTTTACTACTAATAATAAAGATTGCGTTCATTTCTTTCAAACTTTTCCAGTATTTTTATTTGTTACACAAGAAAACTCAATTGAGTTATCAAACACATATTATTTTTGTTTGAACCTGTTGTTAAAACAACTCTGTCTAATACTCATGCATAAATCAGTTTACTTAAGAATATCGCACATAAATATTATTAGAACATTCACCAAAGTCTCATAAAACTGTAATGTATAATACATTCTATATCTTTCTCAATGTATTTATTTATATATATAACTTTTACCCCATCACCCCTCCACAGTGATTAGTGTTAAGTGGTGAGAAAATCATAAGTAGGTCATTGTGCTTAACAAGAAACAAACAAACACATATCTTATTAACAAAAGTATTTAATGCCATTAAATTAAACCATAGTTCTTTACATAGTTATATATATATTTATAAATATAAACAGTACCTAACTGCATTATCGGTGACAGTGATGATCTATCTACTATGTAAATAATAATCCATAACATGTTTTTGTCGTTAATAGTGAATTCCTTTAAGTATGTTACCAGTCTCACCATGAGGTATGAAAAAAATGTGAACACTTTATTGTACATACGCTTAACTTGTTCCAAATATATATATATTGTTACGTCTCTGGTCGTTTGTTAATTTCTGGTATAAATTCTTCCTGAGAAACTTCAGCGATACAAGTCCTTTCTTAAATAAAACTAGTCTTAAATAAATAGTCACTACCGCTCACTTGAATCAATTATCTGTCTGTCTCTCTCCCCTCCTGATCGGATTTTAGGCCTTTGTGACCTAGGAGGGTCAGGTACGCGGGGACCTCTCCCTCCTTTCCGGACTGTGCTTTATTGACTGTGAATGTTGATTGTTGATACTACACGAGGGTCGGAGTAAACCGCACTTGCTCCGACCCCTTTCAGGGCAATGTTCATGTATGTATCCACAGTTACATTCTGTGTTTTGCATTTCTTATTAAAGTTCATAATTCAAGTAACACATTTCACTACTTAGAGGCAAATCGAATTCATTTTACATATAATACCCTTTTAAATGTATTGCTCTTAGGCTCTAACTAGTGTAGGGTTTAAATGTCTAGCAGTAGGTGACCTGATCACATCCTTATTTTTAAAATAAATGTTTACAGGTGAGAGGTACTTGGGTCTACTTCCATCATGTATGTAATAACGATCGAGTTCAAAAAGTCGGTCGTTCTTTTGCCAATTTTTCTCAAAGCAAGAGTCTGTCGGCTATTGTTTGCATATTAGCGTATCTGTGCATAAATATTGATGAGGTGCTACGGGGGACCTTGTATGCTGAGGTGATTAATGTGTGTTGTAGTTTATTTATGTGTTTTGGAACTATGTTTATCCATTCCGGATTGTCATATTCTATTATGGGTCGAATATATGTTTTGTATATTTTAATAATGTTATCAGGTGATGCACCTTGGGTTTTGTAGTTTATTTATGTGTTTTGGAACTATGTTTATCCATTCCGGATTGTCATATTCTATTATGGGTCGAATATATGTTTTGTGTATTTTAATAATGTTATCAGGTGATGTTCCTTGGGTTTTGCCTGTTAGACTTCTTGCATAATTTGTACGTTTCCATATTTTTGTTAATATATTATTTGTATGTTGGACCCACATCAATTTTAGGTCAAATGTTAATCCTAAGAATTTTGCTGATGTTGTGGTCTGGAGAAGTGTTCCATTCATATATAGTTTGGGTGGGTCTTTTTGGTGCTTTGTTAATCTTGAGAAGGTTAGTAGATGGTTTTTCGGAACGTTTATTTTTATTCTATATTTTTGGCAGTATTCTTCTATATTACTTAGAATTGGTTGTAGATTAGTTGTTGCTATGGGTGGGATGGGGGCACTTTTCCAGATCGCTACATCGTCTGCGAATTGTGATGCACAACCGTGATTTGGGTCTTTTAGTGGCATATTACTTACATACATGATGAATAGAATAGGGCTAACTACCCCTCCTTGGGGTACGCCTGTCTTGGGGTAAATGCCTCAGAGTAGGTTCTCCGTACATTTATTTTACATAATTTGTTATCCAAGAAGTTAGATAGCCAACGAATAATCACCCGAGGTAGTTCCAGTTCTGACATGCGGAACCTCAGACCATTGTGCCATACAGTGTCGAAAGCTTTCTCGACGTCGAGAAAGCAGGTGACAGTGCGTTCTTTTTTTGTTAAAACTATCTATTATGGTTTCTGTTAGTCTAACTAGATGATCTGTTGTTTGTCTGAATTTTCTTTCTATCTGCAATTATTTCTCCGCTTTATTTGACGGGCTTATATACTAAAATAGAGGGCGCTTAGAAAAGACTAGAGTTGCCAGGAAAAGTCAAGATCCTTCGAGAATCTCATGACGTGTTACTAGCGTTACGTGACTTCCGCTGTCGTAACAATATTATTTGAAAACAAGTAAAGTGTGTGTGCTGTTATTCGTCGTTGAATTTATCGCTAAGTCACAGACACCTACTGTAGAAAAATCCTAAGCCCAACAACAACA